GTTGGGTCTTATATCGCTACTAACTAGGAACGTAACGCTCACTTCTCCTAGTGGCTGTACCAGAAAAATTATCTAGTAGCTAGATACAAAAAAATAACTTGTAACTATAATTGGTATAAGTACTAGATAGTTCTAATGTCCAAATCCTATTCAGGATTTACCGATGATTTTCTATCTCGTTACTGTGTAATCATTTTCCATCTAGCCACTATCTATGTAACTAGTATAGTTACTAGATAGTCCTGACATTCAAAAGACTGAGTAGGAATATTTAGCCAGTCACTGGCTAGTGAGCTAGTGACTGGCTAGAAAAGTTATCTAGTCATTACTATCTAACTACTAGTCTTGAAATCTGCTCTACTAGATACATTTTTGCTCGGGGCGGTAGCTGATTCAAACTTAGTCAAAAGGCTAACCGTTTAGCTGTTAAGAATTGGCTATGACAGCTAAGATGCATTCGCTATGAAATACAAATATATTAGGTAACATTAAAAATAGCATTAAATTATTTCAAGTAGCTAAGAAAATGGCAGTTATTCCTAAATTTCTTATCGTATGCATATATTAAAGAAGTTTACCGTGTAGCTACAATCATTTGTTACAGTCATTTATTTCTAGCAGCTAATATTTCTCGTTGTAGTGCCTAAGTTTAACAGTGAATAAATTTAGCTTCGGTAGTATCGACATTAGCTGTCTCTATTTCAGTGACACATTTTACCTGTCACAGCTATTTTTTAGTTCTGGAAGCTAGTTCTTTTTTTGCGTGCAATTTTCGCTGCACAGTACAGTTACTAAGGGTTTCAGCATTATTCATTACAAATCTGATATAAAAATCAGAATTTCGCAGTTGACAATTATTAATTTCCTATCAACATAAACAAAATCATTATATTTTAACATAGTATATATGTTGCAATAGGATACATAAAGGATCATTCAACATAAATGTAAAGTCAGTATTAAGATCTGGTATTTAACAGCTGTCTGTCAATAGCCGATATGAAAAAAATGTTTCTGTAGCACGAAATGTGTCACTGTAAAGTATATTAAGTTTAGGTTGCTGAATACGAACTTAATTCTTATTAATATTGCAACGTTTAGAAGAATTTGTTAAAAAATCGGGCTTGACAGTTTTTTTTACATTGATTAACGTTTAATTAAAAGAAAAAAAATCATACCGATTGCTATAAAATTGTGGTTTCTAGCGATTTTTAAACAGTACATTTCTATTTGTCCCCATTGTGCGATGAGCTCTGGGGCTCGAAGGGTAATACATCCTGTCGGCTACACGTGGGGACGTATCGCTGGTAATCGTACGGCCCGGGTCGTAAATCCGGACGTGCTCGCGTTTACTCGCGTCGCGTGAAGTGAGCGCAAACGAGATCGCGCGAAGCCGAACTGGCTGAGTAAAGGTCCTCGGCCCTTGACGGACGCTAGGCACTCTGAAGGGAGGCCATAGTGGCACTCCCGAGCTAAGGCTAGTGGCACACAAAACAACTTAAGCAGTAAAACGTAAGCAGTAAGCAAATTGACTAATCACAGTCATTGATTCTTCTTACGGTCCAAGAATCAACGACTGTGATTGGCTGATTCGTTACTGCTTATGTCTTACTGCTTAAGTTTGTCTAGGTGCCAACCGGACTGGCACGTCGCGTGAGGCGAACGAGTCGCCAGAGGCTAAGTTCGCAGAGACGAGCTAGTCGCCGCGTAAAGTATCGCAGATTGCGATAAAGAATGTAAGTCCCGCAGAACTTAGAAGAATATCGGAGCCTCGGTTCGAGATATTGCAGGAGAGAGCGTCCAAGCAGTGGTGGAGGCTGTAGACTACTCCGTAAGGGTGTAGGAGTCTCGCGGACCTTCCTCTCAACCAGTAGGTAATTTCGAGAAAATGAAGAACAATGGAAACACCAAAGATACCTCGCGTGAGGCGACTCAACGTGCTGCAAGCAGACACTCTAAAAGGCCAAGAGCCGTCGCTCACACCGGCTAATATAGCTGCCGAGGCGGAATTTGACAGCGAATGATGGCCAGACGGAGGCCATCGCTGTGACGCGGCGACGCACAGTGCCAAAAGGCACACTTGGTGGACAAAACTCTGCCTACATCACAAATCTGCATCGATTTTGATGAAACTTTTTTAAAATACTCTATAATTGAATAATTCTATAATGTCTCACTGCCAAAAATTTGAATAAAGTAAACATAACTTCAAAAAATAACCCCAAACTCCATTATCTGTTATCCCTAATTCGATTATTTCAAACTTCATAACACCATGGTCCGAAACTTCATCACTCCAAACCTTATAGACCCTTATAGTCCTCTTAAACCTGATTACCCACGAGTTAAAAATTCCATAACTCCAAACTCCATAACTCTGTGACTCTAAGCTTTATATCCCTGAACTCCATAACCTGAAAACCTGGTTATGGGGTTTGAAGTTCTGGGTTTATGAATTCCGAGGTTATTGTGTTATGAAGCTTAGGATACATAGTTATGAAGTTTAGGGTTATGGGGTTATAGGGTTTACGAATGTGGACCTTAGGGTCATGCGGTTATGGAGATTGTGTTTATGGGGTTATTGAATTATGGGGTAATCTAGGTTTAGGAGTTATGGAACTATAAGGTTTGGAGTTTCGGATCATGGTGTTATGAAGTTTGAGTTAATCGAATTAGGGACAATAGATAATGGAGTTTGGAGTTATTTCTTGGGATTATGTTTACTTTTTTCAAATTTTGGGCAATGAGACATTATATGTTTACTTTTTTCAAATTTTGGGCAATGAGACATTTTATGTTTACTTTTTTCAAATTTTGGGCAATGAGACATTATATGTTTACTTTTTTCAAATTTTGGGCAATGAGACATTATATGTTTACTTTTTTCAAATTTTGGGCAATGAGACATTTTATGTTTACTTTTTTCAAATTTTGGGCAATGAGACATTATATGTTTACTTTTTTCAAATTTTGGGCAATGAGACATTATATGTTTACTTTTTTCAAATTTTGGGCAATGAGACATTTTATGTTTACTTTTTTCAAATTTTGGGCAATGAGACATTATATGTTTACTTTTTTCAAATTTTGGGCAATGAGACATTATATGTTTACTTTTTTCAAATTTTGGGCAATGAGACATTTTATGTTTACTTTTTTCAAATTTTGGGCAATGAGACATTATATGTTTACTTTTTTCAAATTTTGGGCAATGAGACATTATATGTTTACTTTTTTCAAATTTTGGGCAATGAGACATTATAGTTTCTATTACAATTATAGTTACTACAATTATAGTTTCTATAATTGTACAGTAACATTATAATAGTTCTCAGTAATAGTTCTCTATTTACAAGTATTTTAAAAAAGTTTTATCAAAATCTATGCAGATTTGTGATGTAGGCACAATTTTGTCCACCAAATGTGCTTTTTGGCACACTGTGCGAAGGAACGCTGAGAGATGACCGCTCGCGAGCACAGCTGCGTCTGGAGCGCGGCCGCCCGTCGTACTCTGTCCGTACGGAACAAAATGATATATTATTGGAATATATTTTAAATGTTACGTTGAATTAAATCATATTATTTAATTGAAAATTTTCTAATTTCAAAATTTTGATTTTTCGGAATAATGCACATCCACCAATATTATAGTGATCATACATTCAGAATGCTAATGAACACTGAGAAAAATACTAGAAAATTTGTAAAATGTAAAATTTATTTCTATGAAATAAAGTTTATTTCTATGAATAAACTTTATATTCCCAAAATAAATTTTCCTCAGTGCAGCTGTCATAAAAGCAGATAAAAACAGATCTTTTTTGGATATAAAAATATGAAGTATTAAATACATAAATCTAATCATAAAAAATAATCATAAAAATGTATAAATCTAATCGACAAGTCAGGATATTATCAAAACTTGATATGTTGTAAAAAATAGTGTCAACATTTTTATAAGCAAATTAATTTTTAGTGCGTTATTGCACGGCAATAACATTATTCATTTATTATTTATTCTATTTCAATTAGAAAGAGGAAAATTATAAAATTTATTCATATAATGATGATTATTTTTCACACCTATTTCAAAGATTGTTTTATATTTATTCGAATTAAATATGAATTAATAAAATTCATACCAGTTAAACATAGCATTCGATGATAGTTGTTAAAAATATAAACTTTATGAATGTCCTACGGTTTTAATATATATTTCAGAGAAAAGATATTTAATATTATGTCAATTTAATATCAATACTATCAAATGGATATGCATTTGTTTAAATTCGGAAATTACTGAAAAATTATTTTTTGCTGCTTTTGTAGATTTCTGGTTCATTGTGCAACGCTTACTAATAAGTATGGCATAAAGAAAGCTTTTTGAACATTATAAGGATGCGTTATAAACTGATGCTATAAATATATCGTTAGAGCTACTTGGTATCACTAATTTCTATTCGATCGTACAGATAATCGTAATCTACCTATTATCGTAATCAGTCAAAAAGAATGGATGATCGTATCACGAGATGATGGAATATTTTAATAGAAAATCACGAAGAGAGAATGCACACGTACATAATGTAATAAAAAAAGATCGTCAATAATGCGAAAAGGTTGAAATTATTAAAATAGAATTATAGTATTTTTTTTATATAAAATATAAGGAAATTAAGTGAAGCAGTTTTCTGCTTTTGAACCAAACAATAAATTATTTATAAATAATTATTTATAAACAATAAAAATATGTTGAAGGCCAAATAATTGTGTTTGTTAAATCAAAATAAATAAAAAATTGATATTTATTTCAACTGTTTTAATAAATAAATTTCTTGGAATTTAATAAAATTTATTAAATTTAGAAAAACCGTCCTCTCACTCTGTGTAGAAGAGTCAGTAAAATTTCTACGTCTTATATACGAAAATACGAAACTATTTTGAGTATCAAGCTAAAAGAGACCGAATTAGTCCTTATCTAATTGTGGATAATTGCCTTAAGCGCAGTTACCATAGCCACTTTGCAAAAATAATAGCGATTCCAGGTAACACATACACGTATCAGAAACGTTTCTTAAACGTATCTATAATTTCAGAATTGTAAAGCACCAATGAGAAACGTTTTAACAAGAACCTTTCTGAAACTTTATTTATGAAATGTTTATAAAACGTTTTAAAACGCTTATAAAACGTTTCTTCAACGATTTTTTTCGCAAAAATAACGTTTCACCTAATGTTTTTTCAGTGGACTCATGAGAAACGTTTCAGAAACATTATGAAATATTTTGGAAACGGTTATAAAACGTTTAATTCTAACGTTTATAAAACATTTCTAAAACGTGTGCTACCTGGGATTATTGTCTTGTCGTAGAATGCAGTTAGTATTGAGCAATATCGTGAAATGTTAATAGACAAAACTTTATTCATGCGTTCACGTGATATCAACCGGCAATCGAAGAAATTTAAATAAATCATGCAACACGGCACAGGATTTATAAATACGATATGTCAAATTTTCTCGCGGTATACATTTAAACGGAAATAAAATGCAATAAAAATTTCGAAAACGTTTTTTCTCGTAACAAAATCAATTACTTTTTTAAATATAATCATATCTTTTCTTATCCGTAATGTTGTTCTGGATGTAATTGATCAGTTTCTAAACGCCAATAAAATGCAATAATAGAAATTTCTAAAACATTTTTTTCACAAAAAATAAAGGTTATTTCATTTTTAATTTAAATTTTTTAATTAAACCGTACCTTTTTATCCGTAATATTGTAAAAAGATCTTATCCGTAAAAACATCAAAATAAATTCAGTATTATTTCATAATGTTACTTTTATAGCTATTTTATAACAAAAAAAGGCACGATAATGAAGATTTTCAATAACATATAAATATAATATAAATCCTAATTGTTACATGTTTTAAATTTTATTATTGTATAAAAATTTTATTATTGTATTGCGCATTGTGTTGTAGAAAATGAATTACATGTTGAATATGTCCTAAGCACTTAACATTATTTGTTACATTATATCCTAAATATTATCTGTCTATATCTGTTTAAATATTATCTCCTGCCTATATTGTTAAGTATTGAGTGTTAATCTGTATATTAAGAGTATAATCTATTAAGTGTTAGTAAGTCAAAAAATATTATGAATTACTATTAAATTTATTATTACTATTAAATAATTAATTAATTACTATTAAATTTGTTTGAATTCTTTTTACAATATTACGGATAAAAAGGTACGGTTTAATTAAAAAATTTAAATTAAAAATGAAATAACCTTTATTTTTTGTGAAAAAAATGTTTTAGAAATTTCTATTATTGCATTTTATTGGCGTTTAAAAACTGATCAATTACATCCAGAACTTTCTCCTGCTTGATCATTGTAATTGATAAAAAAAATAGTAGATGAACATCCTGTATGTGACAAGGAGTACGTGCGTGCACGCACACACATACATACACATCTGCACGCACATACATATATACACATCTGCACGCACACACAACTAAATTGTGAGCGTATTTATAATGCATGACGTAATTATAATGTATGCAAATTGTGCGCCATAAATGAAAACGTAATGTTACTTGCGTAGAAATTCCGGATAATTATACAGCTAGCGCGAATTTATGCGTCAGCGTTCGACACGCGAAGGCAGATGTTAACATTGTAAATAACGTCGGTAAATAAACACAGCTTGTGATATATTAAATCGCGATTGACGCTGAGAGAAGCGCAGCAGAAGACAGTATTTATTTATTAACGTTTGTGTAATTACGATGGAGTAGACGTACCGAGTAATATAACACGTTCGCTGTCAGAGTCACATATATACGCGACATCCTCGATTCTCATAACTGAACCGGTATCATATATACGTGCATATGGCACATCAATTGACCTTTTCAAAAAACGCAAGAGTATCAAAAACGCGCTATGCATCTCTCTTTATGCAAAATAAAAATAACGTATCGTGCGATTTATTGTGCTATTCGAAATGGAGTTTGCGATGTGAGATCTTTCTCACGCGTGTATTCAACATTTAGTATTAAGAATTCTAAATGAACTCTCTTTCTTCCTGTGTCTCCCTCTCTCTTAATCGGTAAAAATGAAGCGAGAAACAACGAGCTATTCGCTAACGAGTTGACCTAGACAGACTGTTTGACCCCTTTTGAAGCTAGCGCTGTTTTTGAAGCATCCTACATCCATCTTCTGAATGCTAATCGTATACATGTGACCCCATTTACGTTCCTGGGCAGTGACGTATTCATATGCACGCCCGCACATTTGGCGACCGGCACACATGTCTCAAAAGATAACTATAGCTCTACTTAGTTTCTTTTACAATCCGGCGTCAGTATCGGTCGAGTAGCTATTTATAGCTGTATTTGAGTTTGCGTTAACGTAATAAAATAATCTATTACGTCGAGAAAGCGATTAGTCATCAATATTGCGAAATGTAGACGTTTTCCGCGGAAATCCTTTCGAAGAGTATTCCTCTTCAACATAGATACTATATATTAAGAGAAATATGTAAAACACATAAATTCTCTGTTCAAATAAAATTAATTTCAAGCTGCACAAAGATACCCTGAAAAATATTTGATAGAAAATGATTGGATAAGATTGAAATAGATAGAATTCCTATATTGATTTATATGACCTATCATGCACCGAAGCCGTACAACATAGACTTTCTATATATTTTAATCATATTTTGTGATACTATTCTTTTCAATCATCCTGAATATTGATTTATATAATAAATTGATATTTCTGAATCATAGTATCGCATTATTTTATAATAAGCTACTTATAATATTTTTTTATAATAATTCTTATAATTCTTATAATGATTAAAATGGTCAGATAAAACTGAAAAGAATATCTATGTAGTTTAATAATACTCATATCTTATAATACTACTCTTTTCCATCATGTTGAATATGAAAGTTGGTATAATCAGTTTATATTTATCAATCATAGATAATACATGGTATATGAATTCACTTACGAAATTTCGTAAATAAATTATAAAATATGTGAATCAAAATCACCATAAAATATGATAGACAAATTTTCTATCATTTTCTATCCAACATTTTAAGCAGGGTAATTTCCTCTTTTTACTCTCCTTTTTAATGAATATATTTATTGATTTTTATTTATTCCATTTCTCGAATAACGCGCCAATTCACTAGTGAAACTTAATAAAAAATATATATGTATAATATATAATATATAAAACATAAAAAATGTATATATATATATACATTATTGATTCCGCCATGCTGCCAAGCCGCTAAAACTCGCCAGACACGCGAGCTGTGGTGCCTTTACTCGATCGCTGATACGCGGATAATAATGCAACCAGTACGTACCAGCGCCAGCTCGATTGTCGTCTCGTTCTGTCATCCGGCGGTGCCCATCCAGCCGCGAACGAGCGAAAGCACGACTGTAATCGTAATTTCTGTATGTGATGCCGGCGTAACTGTGTGAATACCGGAGTGCTCTCTGAGGGGCATTCGGCACGCTGGCGACTAGTCACTGTTATTGCCGTCAGCGTCGACGTAAATTGCCACAATTAGCCGTTACGGCGAAACAACGCGTTTGCGCTCCGAGCGTGCAGCCGGAGCAGGAAGTATAACGTAAATTCTTCAATCGGCGAGCGACGACGCGACGTCAGTGCGAGGCAGCTACCGCCGCCCGATCGAAGCAACCGCAACGCGAAACCTCGTGTTGTCGGCAACAACACCGCGAAGTTCCCTCGTCGAGAGATGGCACTCCCATCGCCCTTCACACGCGGTGGAGATGCAGCAACTGCATCACCTGCGTATCGTATCAGCAGGTAAGTTCGTAAACTTATATCCCGCGCATTTTCAAAAAATTAAAGCACATTTCTCGGGTTGCGATGGTGTTCTTTTTTATTTTTGCAGAGTCCCCTGTCAGGCTCATAGCTCATTTGATGTTTCAAATGATTAATCCGTAAGTAAAAAAAAAGAATTAAATGAAAGTTTTATACGGCAAACTGGATTAATCTGCAGATTAATCCAGTTAATCAACTCAGATAATATAGAGAATTCAAAAAGGATTCAAAAAGAATTCAGTCGTATGTCACTAATTTTGAGTCCATTTTCAGATACGAAAAGAATTCTTCAGAGTTCAGTACAATGAAAAAAATTATTTTTGCATATAAAAATGAACTCAGAATTGGTGATATACGAGTGAATTCTTTTTGAATTTTCTGAGCTGTCTGAGAAGTACATTATTATAAAGTTCTTGACGTGACGATTTAGTGCATTCGTTGTTTGAGAAATCTATAAAAATTTAACATTTATTCTTGTATTCGGGTTAATGCGATTATTTTCAACAATTGTCTTCTCCTTTATCATTATTTAACATTAATTATAGAGAGTGTCTGATACAATGCATACGTCCGCTCGTGTAAGTAGAACTAATCAAATTAAACAAAAATATGACATATCATTTTCCAAGTAACCATAATAAAAAAGAGCAGACCGTTGTTTAAAATGATAAACATAAAACAATAAGATTACATTATGTTCAATATAAATTTTTAAATCAATATGAATTTGTAAATCAATTATTACCTTATTGATTCACATTGATTTATGTTGAAATTTAAATTAAGGGCTATGGCACGCAGAAAAACTTAAGCAGTAAACCAAGAATCATTGAATCTTGGGCCGTAAGAAGAATCAACTATGATTGGTCAATTTGCTTACTACTTATATACTTTTCTATGTACTTGTCTCTGACCTTTTTATGTTATCTTGCCGTTTTGTGTTCATCATTTTAAGTAGAAATATACGCGTTGTATCAAATACCTTGTATACAGAATATCTGGATTTAAACGTTGCAACGTTCTTGTGCAAATAGAATTCGTTAAAATAAATAGGATAATCTTCTACAATTTTGTAAATTATTTCGGCAATTATTAAGATTTTAGTTAAGAAAGATTAGCGAATGAACATGTATGATGTGATAGGAAAAACTTTGCAGATAGTCTGAAGAAATATGTCTTAGGCTTATTAATTGTTTTCTAACAACGGTGGATATTAGTCGAGAGCAAAAGATAGATTAATATTGCAAACAGAGAAAAGTATAGTCTTGCGTTACATGTACATGATCTTGGGCTATTTGTCTATATTCGTCTATATTCGTCATTGTTTAAAGATCACAAAACAAGTTCAAGATGTGCGTTTTTAGTCCGCTATACAGAGTTTGTTCTATCGCATCGCATACATCGATCAATTTTTTTTAAAAGTAAAGTTCTGGTTTAAATAACTGAAAAAAATAAGAAATTGTAAGAATTTAAAAAAAAAATAAATAAAGTTATCGATATAGAGTTCCGACCATGTATTTATTATTGCTTCAAGTATAAAAAATTACTTTAAAAAATTAAAATTCCGTCCAGGTTTTTTATACTGAAAGCATCGTCATCAGACGGCAGACAACATTACAGCTCGTGTAATAATTTGAAATAAGTAGAACCAGGAAATTTAAAAGTTGTATTAAGTTTGCTAGAGAATGAACCTTTGCCAAACAGCACACGATATTTCATGGATATCCTACGAACGTCCTTAGGGCATAAGGACGTCCTCTAGACGTCTTTGGGATGTCCTGGAAGATTTATACTATTGAGGTTGTTACATACAGAAAATGTATTTGACAAAGTAGTATTTGCCAATTTGACAAAGTAGCAACATTCGAAGTTATATGTTTTGCTTCTCTTTCTTTTTTATTTGATGTCTCGAAAAAATACTTTGTATATAATCGAGAAGATTTAGGTACATCCTTCAATAGATTTAATACAGTTTTCAAATTTTTTTGTCACTGGTTAGAGACGTTCGGTGAAATTGCATCCAACACATAATACTAGGACCAAATTTCAATTTTTTAGTATTTCTTTATATGTAGAACAATAATAAATAATATGGTCAAAACTTTATATATCTATTTATTCCTTTGAAAAAAATTCGTAAGGATCTCCTATTTTCTTGGCTGTACAGAGTGTTCCAGAACAATCTTCGAAATTCTGAAAGCATAGTATGGATTTAGGTAAATACGAAAGTCCTATACTGTTTTGTAATATTCGCAATTATCGAGATGTTAATTAAATACGATTTATGAGTGATTAGGCGAGATATAGTATATATAGGAGAGGTAGTAGCAACATTTGCTATCGTGTGCTTGTAAATTAGATCAAACTGAACAAAAAAGTCTTCTACTATTTTTCTAATAACTTTGTTGATTTTTAATTATTAATTAAAAAAGATTAATAGATAATCGCTCGCGATAATGTATTAATGTTATCTAATTAATAACTAAAAATCTACAAAATTATTGAGAAAAAGGTAGAAGACTTTTCTTAATTCACACTTCGCGTGATCATTCACAAATCTTCTTTAATTAATATCACGATAATTATTGCGAATATCGCAAAATGATATAAGACTTTTATGTTTACCTTAATCCGTATTATTCCTCCACGAAAGCTACGAAGGCTGTTCTGGGACACCATATATAAATCAGAATATTCCTTTAATTAATATTTCAAAAATATTTGCAGTTTGTGCAAAATAGACATTTAATTTAATGAGTTCTATTTGCACGTGAGCGTCGCGACGTTTAAGTTCAGCTATTCTGTATCGTAAATCGTATATCATATAACAGTATCGTAGATTATATAAAAAAACAAGTAATACACTCGCGAAAAACTATTTCCTTATGTATCTATCTACTTTTACCTTCTTCTCTCGTAAAAATATATTTAAATAAGTTCAACGTAAGTGTGAAACGATGTCGGATGGAGTAAGTTATAATAGAGTGAATATGAAAGATGCAAAAAAAGAAAGAGGTGATGTAAAATAGCGCTACTTCCCTAAGAATTCGGGAATAAAATCAATTGATTTCCGTAGCTTTGCTCGTGTAAGGCATAGGCTCGTCCTCCTCGCCGATCTTCCGCAATCGCTGCAGTTCCGCGGCCCGCGTTCTAGAACACCGCGTACGTGCGTTTTTAGTTACGATTGGCTTTTCGGGAGAAACTCTGTGGAAGAGCGAATTTGATACCTTGCCAGGGCTTCCTCATTCTCTCGTTCCGCCCTACGGTTCCTGAGAATCTTATGCCCGACGCAAATGACTACCAGTAAAATTGGAACCAGACAAGCGAGTATTATGCCAGTTGTAACGCCCGCTTCACGAGAACTGTATTCCTGCTGGCCTGTGCAGTGCGAAACAAAATCGTTAATATCATACATTGAGATATTGTAGTGGTACAGTTTCCTTCCTATGAGAAAAAACTGCATTACATCACAACGAATGCATAATCGGCTGCAAATCCGTCAGATAATTCCGTCGATAATCTGCCGCGCTCGGATGAATTTTATAACGATGTAAGCGAGATCCTCAAGCGGAAAAGGAAAGAAGGCGATGCAATGGGAAGAATTCATGATATAACGCTGGTGGCAAATTTCCATTCCATTCTAATGCCGTTTCACGCAGCATTATAATGATATGAAGCTTCTGTTGCTAATAATATTCTGTACATGCGTGTGGAATAGAAATTTCCCCTCGTCACGTTTAATAATGCGTATAAAATTTTATTAAAACAAGCACTTTCATATATACAATACGTGAACAAGATAGGTGATATGATCGAATTATTTATGAAATAAGAAAACTGGACGTTACAATAATATAATCATTATTGCATTTAATCATTCCTTCACGCTACGACGTTCAATGTTTACATCAACCGGCGTTGGTTTACCAATAATGGCGACGATATATCTAATCTAAATACAAATAATACTGCAACTATTTCTATTCCACAGCAAGAACAGTAACATATTCTCCGCTATTTACATATGATAATCTTATGCTTAAGAGATATCGTACGCAAAACTTCGTATTTTTTAATGACCTGTCTATTGATATCTGTTACTTTTTTTCTCTTTTCGTGTGTACCAAACTTCGATCGTTCTCGTAGAATGTATTAATACTCGATCCCCGTTAATCCCCTCTCTCTCTCTCTCTCTCTCTCCCCCCTCCCTCCTCTCTCTCGATGTTGGCTCTACGTGTGTCGGATGTACGTTACTAGAAATTGGAATCGAGATATACTGTCATGGGCACATGCACTTACACGCTCACGCTAACGACAATTTACAATAACGAAGATGAGCGCGCGCGGATCGAGCAATTTCGCTGGTGATAACATTGCGCCTATCGACGAACCGTCGTTTACACGTCACTCTCTTTAGGACTGGCTGTTTTTCTCATCGAGTCGGTACTGTCCGACTCCGTCGGCGAGTTGGGCTCCTTCAGATCCCACTCTTTCTCCTCAAAGTCAATGTCCGGTCTATTAGGTAAAGGTTCGTTCGTGCGATACACTCTGTCGTATATACGGCGCTTCCTAGAGCTATTATTTTCAATTGTGCTATCGTCGCTAATTGGAGAAACGGCCCTATCGTACGGCTTTAGCGGCATAGTCTGCTTCGACAATGTGGATTCATTGTCGATACCAGACCCGCGATCGATAGAGCGCCATGATTTCGTGGAGCTTCCCGTCGACTGTTTCTTTCTTATGTAAAAATAGCCACCGGCGATGCAGCCCACCACGGGTATTAACACGGCGCTAATAATGCCCATTGTCGTCCACGCTGTACGCTGAGCGTACTCGACATGACCTATATTTATATATAATACGCATGAAAAAGATTGCAGCATACAGAAGAGCATATCGATCAAAAGATCCTATTGGAGAGACGACGGAAGAAGGGATAACGATGAAGTGGATGGAGAACGTCACAGAAATAAGAGAACTGGAAGGATAGGAGGAGATGGTAGAAGAGGAGTCGTGCTAAATCAATTGACGTTGTTTCTTAGAGATTCTACAAACTCGACTCGCGAGAGCGGGCTCTCGCTGATTAATTGCTCAAGTATGAGCTTAGAGACGGTTTAACTTTTAAAGCAAGCTGATGGAATTGGTCCGCCCCGAGTTAACTGGTGGTACTAACTGCGCGCACCGTTTAATACTTCCCCCATGTACCTTATTCCATCTTGAAGCATTTAGTTTAGGATTGTTAGGCAGGTACGGTAGGTAGGTCCTAGTAGGAAATTAATGTATTGAATAAATAGTGTAGAAATACTCACGAAGGCACTCCGTGTATCCGTATTCCGGTACGTTCCATCGACCTTCTGGCGTGCATACCCGACGTTGATCGCCGACGAGGATAAAACCCTGATTGCACTCAAAATTTATTTTTGTTCCCGGGGTAAACTTGAAATTGTTCTTGCGGCCAAATCGTGGTGTTTCCAGTACACCGCAGGATATAACTTAAAGAATAAAATATTATATCGATTTAGCATTAAGTGTCACCGCCACAGACTTATATATTAGATGGTAAACTTAGTTCCTGCGGCTCACAATTAGATTACGTTAGTTGTAGGTGTAATTTATTTTGACATCTGAAACTGGCTGCATTTTAGAGCTTAGACATTTGTCAATAAAATTCAGTGCGAAGAGATTCACTTAAGCGAGCAGTGCTATTTTTTCTTTTGATTAAATATGGAACGTGATAAGTTGTTTTTTCGACATGTGCTGCTTCATTACTTTGACTTGAAAAAAACTGCAGCTGCAGCTCATAAATTGCTTTTCGAAGCTTATGGCAATTATGCTCCATCGGAAAGAACATGCCAAGTATGGTTTCAGCGATTTAAGA